GTTCATTCATTACAAAGTAAGGCATATTTGAAGCCCTTATAGATGAAACTAGAATAGTGTTGTAGAGAAATCATTCGACTAAATATGAGTGAAAGAATCATGGGAATTGAATTAAAAATCGATGAGAACCTTTAAATTTACTGTCAAACTTGAAATTCATTAAAATTATACATTTACTCCACGCAGAAACCAATCGATAACAATTTAAGACTCTTCGAAAAACTAGTATAAATTATATTGTCGAAAAGGTTTTGAAAATTTGAAAACAGAAAGTTCAAGAAAAGTATTTGTTTTGCTGCATATTGTTTGTCAAGAAAATTTTTTCTTATCTTCTAAAATGATCGAAATATAGAATTAAGACAAAAATGAAAGCAAGTTTCTTAATTAGTCTGATGTGTCCTTCTTAGATGGAAAAAATGCTAGTGTTAAAAATGAATAGTCAGTTACTACGGATTTGAACTATGTTGCATTTTCTGTCTACTTTAACAGATGAATTCTTATGTAAAAGAGTAAGATTTAAGAAACGTATTTTTAAACATAGTTTCATAATTTTTGAGAATATTTCTATAAGTTTATTTCGTCCTGATTGATAAAATATTTTGATATATACTTTTTCGTGTTTAAAAATGCTTCAGTGGATAGGAAACTCGACTTGTATGAGTTAGAGCTACACTGATTGATCAAATCTTGTTGAAAATATCTCGCTCATACATGTAATTTAGTATGAATGTTTTTACAATAAGCATTAATCGTATTCTTGACATTCGAAATAACATTTTGTTTTAATGATACAAGAAATTTATGAATTAGTGACTATTCAGCTAAAATCATTGTTGATTCACTAACTTTGATTAGAGAATAAAATGTATTCTTCATTCTTTTTAACTATCTATTACATAATCAAAACCTGTCATAAAGCAAGCAACTAGCGATATATTTCGTAGTAAATTCAACAGTGTAATTGAATTCGTGAACAAGTTTACTTGTTTTCGGAGATCAAGGAATAAGAATATTTCCACGATAGTTTGAAACTTGTAAATAAGATCTCGAAAAATTTTTTTGATGAGTGTTAAGTGATTATCTTTTTCTTTACACCATGCCTAGAGTTCGGGCGAAACTGACATATTATTTTGAGCAACTGTATTTTTCTATTAAAACTATGCGAAGCAACTTTTAATCTGTCTGAAAACAATATATTTTTTTGCTTATCTTTTTCTTTTTACATTTAAGAATATTCTTCAGTTACGAAGCTTACATTTTATTCAAAAACTCCTGATTCTTTCGTGAGATAAAACATTACATTTACAGTTAGATCTTGTTAACACATCCTTGATTGATTAACATGAAATGTCTATCTTGAATCTGTTCTTACTATCTAAATAGAGTTATGCTTTTTCGTTAATGTATAACTATAAGAACATCATCCTGTTCTCCACTTATTTTAACACTATATGCACTTATAAAAGTATTTGTACGATTATGATCAAAGTTAACTCTCCTTAATCATATTTACCTTTTAAGTTGAAATATTGAACTGTCAATCAAGCCATGCTAGATAACTTGATCAATATTGATTATTCAAAAAACATAATGAGCGATTACTATAAACAACAGCAACTAGAAATGAATCCTGGATAGAAGTATGAGATCTTAATTCGTGCCATGGATATTATATGAACAATTATACTAGGCTACATACAGGTAGATAGACATAAGTCGGTTTATGCTTCTTAAAAATTCTTTTCAGTTCGAAGAGAGCAGATTTCTAAGTTTTAGTTATAAGATAACGAATTCAAGGAAAAAAAACCATGTCTCTTTAGAGGGCTAACATTGAAATACTTTGACAAGAAATGAAATTTGCACATACAGATTAAGAAACAAGCGACAAAATTTATCTCGTTTCATTTTGATGATTGAAAGCTTCGCCAAATTAAAACTAATTTTACCAAATGCACCTATCTTGACACTAAAATTTAAGTGGAGGCTGGCAATAGTGAAGAAATATCGATAAGAATGTCTATGACAAATCCTTGATGTTTTTTTTACTTTCTTGGAAGCATAACATTCGAGAATATAGAATTTAAGTTTTCATAATCTAGTTGGAAAATCACGTCTGAACTTCTGTTCCAAATATTTCTAGAAAATTGTAAAGTGTTCCAAATGTTTCAACCTTTGTTTGTAAATTGACGTTATCTCTATCAAATATATTTCTAAATAGTTGATCGAAGTGATGCATATTTTGTCTATGATGATGAAGCATCTTATATCTCACATTTTTTGCAAAAAAGCAAAGTATGTTTGTAACATCTCAATCGAAACATCATTTTCTACGATTTTAATATGATTCGACAGAGCGGGACAAACTCTGTAAGAATATAAATATAACAAAAAAAAAACAAAAAATTCTGATTCTTTTCCAATACAAAATATGTAGGATATCGGAAAGATTACAAATTTATATATCTTACATAAACGTGTCTGCTTGATTTCCAATAATTTTCGCTGATCAACTCCTCCGTGTATTCATGAAGTTTGCAAGAGTTGTTTTCAGCTTCACTATGTGATACTGCATTTCGAAATAGAAGTTAAGAATCGATCAGCTAATATAATAAATGTCAAGCGCAGTTTCTCATGTAAAATATACGAGATTTTTAATCTTTCTGTTTCCTTCCAGATCTGGAAAGCGGACCTCTTTGTGATAACCCGAGTTCATGACGCAAATGAATTACAAAATGATTCAAAATTCCTATATTATATATTTATAGAAATATATGTATATAATTATAATAAATTTATTCTCATATACTAGGTTTTACTAGGATCTACCACGATTTCGCTGCACCCACATCGAGAGAAACGTGATGTAAGACGTTTCGCTGCACCCACACCAAGAAAGATGTGATGTAAGTTGTTTTGTGGCATTCACATCGAGACCTTAGTAGACCCTGACAGATTTTAATAAACTCATTATAATTATATATATATATATATATTTATATAAATATGTATATATTATAAAAATTTCGAATTATTTTGTAATTCAATTGTTTCGAACTACTTTGTAGTTCATTTGCGTCATCCAGCGGATGATCCAAGGGAGAAACAGCGTGCTTTAAGTAGAAAAGTATGTCAAAGTAGGTCAAAACAGACTAATTGAAGTAGTTCAAAGTGCCATCCAAGTAGTCCAAAGTGGGAGCAAGTAGCTTAAAACAACTTGAAGTAGCTCAAAGTAACTTCCTATCGAGAAGTCTACTATTTCTCTCCTTGGGATGACTAGACTCGACTCAGAATGGCACTGTTATAATTATATTTCTTCTAGAAAAGATAGACTTTTACATGGCAGAACTCAATGGTCACTAAAGTTAGAGCGACTATTTTTTGTTATTTTACCTTATATTTAAATTTCTTAAATTTTAAGTTAAGAATAGATTTAAATATTTTTCGCAAATGTGAACTAATCACCTCTATACTGAAGTAATTTATCAAATCATTGTAAAAAATTTATTAATTATCATAGCCACCACAAGTTGAATAAGATTAGACAATTTTAAAGTTTAAAAAAACCTAGGAGATAAGTCGAATTATCTACTGAATCAAAAGAATAAGATGATTTCGTCGAAGGTGTGAATGTGGGCGTGAATTTCATACAACATCCACACCCACACCCTTAATAGAATTTCTAATAACTTTAATTTTTTTCCAACAGCTTCTAAAAAAATTCGCTAAATACAGGATGATATCTTCTCCTTTTAGTTTCAGATGGATTCTAATGCTTAGTAATATTTGATACGAAGTTCTTTTCGAAATACATTATGGTTTTCAAAAACAAAATCATGAAAATGTAGTGTTTCACTTTATAAGAAGATTTCGATCGATACTAGTTCATCATATTGCTGAAAAATCAACAGAACTAATACGGTGTCGCCCCGAATACACCAATATTCATGTACGGATTCTTTTTTCTGGTGCGAGTATTCTAGGTGGGTGTGAATTTGGTGCCTATCTTGTCATTAATCAACACCTAAAGATAGACTCTTCAAGTTTATGTGTTTAAATTATTCTATTGTAATAGAAAAATCTATTAGCAGATTGCAACCATTTACAAGTGAAAGAAAATAAAAATTTAATCTACGTGAAATTTTCTGTCAAAGAAAATTAACTTTGAAAAGCAAAATCAAACTTCATGTGGAAACAATTTAATGATTTATATTTCTCGTTCTCCAGAATTATTGATACTTTCATATAATGAATCGTTCGTTTTAGAACACATATATCAATCACTATTTGAATTTCAAAACAGAAAAATAATGATTGATAGGAGTCATAAAGGACTACATTGTTAATAATTATCCTCAGTTTCATCCGTCAATTGATGACAAGACTTGCTTGTCAAAAGACGAATTTATATGATTCAACTTAAAAGCAAAACTGAAAAATAAGGAAGAAATTAAAACAACTAATTTGTATCTAACAATACTACCAGCAACAATAAAAGTCAATTTATCGTGTTCAAATTCTTGTCTTGCTTAGACACTGATTTCTTCTAGTTTTTGTTGGAATTTTAAACCAGGTAATATGAAAGAGAGAATAGTTTCTCGAATTGTCAGTAGTGAACAATGCGATAATAAGAGAAAAGATTTTTGACTAGTGTATAGTTGATACATCATCACGAGAAAATTTATAAGGAACTTATGAGTCATAGGATTGAATGTCATTCATTAGAAATAGAATCTATATACTATTCTTAATAATTATCACTATATTTGTACTTGTGTAAATATCTTACTCCTACAAAGTAATATTTTTGATTCTCTCAACACCATTTTAAATGATATAGAGATATATTAACGACGAAACTAATGCCAATGCTATCTTTAAAAAACAAATTTTCAAAGATGATCATCAAAGAAAAGGAGATTTAGAATTAGACAAGATGATAGTGAATCTCGATATCGATTCGATCGCTATCCTCAATTATGTCGAATATCTAAAGTAATTTTTTAAGCAGCAAAACTAATAGTATTTACTAATGAAATCAACTCGAATTTTAAGTGAAGTGTTGTTTTTCTATGCACTCAAATTTTTTCCCCTTTAACTATATATTTTGTTTTATATGAGGTATTCATTCTACAATGATTGTCTTCCTTTTTTTGAAACTTACTCGCAATACTTTTTTTGATATTAGTACTTAAACTAACAAGCTTTTGATTTGATTTTTTGAATTCAAGAGCTTTTTGACGCCATTGAACACTTTTGTCATAGTCACCAGCTTGCGATGTCACGTTGGTAAGATCTTCATACAGTTTACCAACCAATGGATCATTTGTTGGAAGTTGTTTCAAAAAAGCATTTAAATATTTTTCAGCTAAATCGAATCTTCCCATGTTCCATACTAGTTTTCCTAATGTGTATAGATTAATTTCTTCACTTTCAACTTGTTCTTTCATATCTAATAGGACGTTTTTTAAATCACTATCGTTCTCACTACATAAAGTCATTTTGATGACCCATACTTGATCATTATCATTATGCTCGACACTGTTTAAACGAAAAATAGAGCCTAACATGAAAAGTATTTCCGATTCACCAGGAAATTCACTATGTCGACTGATATCAGCAAATGGTTTTGTACCAACCATTTTAGGATCAGCAACGATTTCAAATATGATCGGTTCAAGATCAGTTGCGTCATCAGGAATATTAAGAAATGAAAGAGCTTGCCGATAACTAGTACTAGTGGAAAAAAATGAATTCACCGAAATAAATTGGTTACGACATTTTTTTAGACCTTCTAGTTCATTTTTTGACATCACTTGTCCTCGATAAACCCGAACACGACGATCAACTTGATGCTTTATTAATAAACGTTGAATATCACCGATAAATTTACGAAATAAAAATATCATATGTATATTTTCAGTGCGTAGTATTGCGTTAAGAGTCTTGTAAAAAAACATTTGTCGTGAATACCACCATAAGGCTTTGTCAGATGAATAATCTTTTTTAAATTCACGAATGTTGCTCAATTCAAAATGATTGCCTTCATATATATCTTTGCAATGCTTAATAAGTTCATTAATATCTTCTGACGTAGATTTTAATAGCAGAAGACAGTCGATAAGAACTTGATAATAAAGAAATTTACCGTTAACACTACCTGTTGATTTTCCTGCGTCACCACTGATATTATAAACATTAATGGAAAACGGTTCTTCTACCATTTTCTGAATTTTATGATCTGCTTGAATTCGAGAAATGAGTTCATCGAGTTCTGTAACAACAGCTTTTACCTATTTGAAAAAAAAATCGTAGAGAAAATTAAACTCAATAGTTTAATTTTACTTTTCCGTATTTGTCAGCCCATTCTTTGTTACGTTTCTTATCGAAACAATAAACATAGATTGATATAACTTGTCGATGTTTATGAATACGAGGAACTATTTCTTGTCCCAATGTACCGCTCACAATCATGACGACCCGTTCATGTTGTGATCGCTCTTCAATATACTTTTGACATTCATTGGCATGTTGAAATTTCTTGAGACGATTGATAATGGAGCGTAGCTTTTGTTCAGTGTCTCGATTATCATTAGCATTGGTATTAGCATCAAGCCAAATCAGACAAAAAATTTCAAAATCCTTATCGTCAACCTTTGCATGAAATGTATCCGTTACTACCATAGCAGTGGCCATGTTGATACAAAAACACTCAATTAGATTGTCGTTGTTTAGGTTTGATTGTAGAATGTACGAATGTTTTTTTTAATCTAGAACTCATGTTAGGAAGTAATGATGTATATAGAAGGAGAATGGGGGATTGATCCCCTCTATGAAAAAAATAAAAATTTCTAGAATTTTTTTCTTTAGATTTTAAAAATAATACGTGTATCGATAATGGCACAGTTTCATGTTACATTTACGTAATTCAATCTATATAACGTGTCTGTGTCGGGCGTGGGTGTGGGGTGTGGGTGTGAGTGTGAGTGGATGTGTGTGTTGGTGTGGGTATGGGTGTGGGTGTTAGGGATGCACCGGCGACGGTTCACCGTCCACTCTTTCACCGTACCAGCGGTGTCGTCGCCCATCGGTTCACCGATCAGTACGGTGGATCGATGGACCGGTGAACCGGTGGAACGGTGAGATCGGTGAACAGCGCACCGCTCACTTTTTTGTATTTCGGTATCTCTCCTACACGATACATCTTAGAAACCCGAGCGCTTAATTTTCTGATAAGAACTAATCACTCGTCCTAATTAGTTTCGGGAAATACTGATCAGAACTCTGGAGTAAAGCAGAGAATCAAGCCGATAAGGTTATAAAAAGCCATAATGGATACCGGCGTATTAGTACTGCTGGATGCATTGAGTCTTATGTTGTTTGAGTGGTAGCGGAAATCGGTTATCACCGCAAATTTTCGTAGTTCTATATGGACAGTATTGATATTAACTAGAAATACAACGGTGAAAGTCATTTCACCGGTCGAAACCGATAGCCATACCTACGGTTACTGGTACAGCTGCGATAATTATACCTAGGTTTTTCGATCCAATCACGATAACTGTACCAATGGTTACTGGTCCATCTAAGATCAGTGTACCTACAGCTACGGATCTAACTATCATCTAAGTTACGGTCACTCGCCTAGCTACGATTACCGTACGTAAACCTATTGGTGGAACTACGATAAACGTACCTACGGTTACCAGTCCAACTATGATTACCGCATTGATAGTTATCAGCGAGATTATATAGCCATACCTATGGTCATCGGTCTAACTGCAACAATCATACCCACGGATACCGATCTAAGTACGATAACTGTTTCTATCGTTAGTAGCCAAACTACGAGTACCATAGGTACGGCTGATAGTCCAATTGCGATAACCGCACTTACAGTTATCGGCCCAATTACGATCCTCCTAGGTACAGTTATTAGGTCAAAACGGATGTCGTGAAAAACAGCATTTTTAAGAAACTAAGGTTTTTATAAAGGTTGACGAAGTAAACTGGGACCGGAGAGTCAGAATTCAAAGCCAGTCTTTGAAAATTTTGAACTGAAGTTTTTAGATTAAGTGATTGTTTATTATGAAAGTAACTATTTTCTTGATAGGTTGATGAAGGGAAATGCAACTTGACGCCTTTGACTCTAATACTTAAGAAAACTATAGCATTCATCAAGAAATCATTTTATTGATAATTGGAATGCAGAACCCTGATAAATCGATTCCAGATTCGAATCCCTGGAAACCGATTTACTTTCTTCACTCTGTATTAAATGTCAGGATCTTCTCAGAAAACCTTTCCTTAGCGTACAAGGTCAAATTAAGCATTTCTAAAATTTGACCTCAGATTCAGATTTTCTGATCATGACCATCTTTCTTCACCTTTCATAGGAATTCGTTAGTGTCTTAGAAAATACTGTGTTTCACGAAAGCCTTCTAGGACTGATAACTGTACCTATAGTTATCATAATTGGTCCTGTGATCGTGGGTACGGTTTTCTTAGTTGTAGCAATAACCGTACCAATGGTCCACGTAGTGAACCCGTAGCCTTACCTACTGTTATCGCCATCGTTGCATCACTAACATTAATAACGATAGTCGACGCTATACTCCTTACTAGACGGCACTATAACACAAAGCGTTTCTTTCATACTTGATTACCGTGATTCGACTAAGAAAAGGATCAACGGAACCATGAAAAATTATGTCAATCTTCGATGTAACAGCATCAGTGATTGATGCAAGCATGCAGGTGTCTGAAAAATGGTCAAAATCGACTATATCAGTGGGCTCCTAATATTCTAACCTGTCGTGTTCACCTTAAACTCTATGATTGAAACCGTATTCTTGATTTGAGAGTTCGTCGTATACGAGACACTCTTACGCACGAATATAATCATCAGGCTAACGAGATGGTTGGTATAAAAATGGAAACGTACGGTGGTGGCTGCTAGACGGACATTATCTGTTATTTTGAGCCTCAAATAGTCCATAAAATTCTATGAATCGGTCATAACGACAGGCTCCCGCTCTCTAACTTCCATTGTTAGCTTTCATGTTGGCGGTCAAAACTGTATAGCCGATTAGGGATATTATACCATTGACAATCTTCCTTTTCGCCAACTAGCGAATATACTAACGAAAAATGGTCTGGATATAGGTGACTCGGTGTGGATATGGATGTGAGTGCGAGTGTGAGCGTGGGTGTGGGTCTGAGTGTTGTATATGCGCTTGATCTATACTCATACCCACGCCCACATGCACACCCACATCCTGTAATACTTAAATATTCTATCATCAATTTAGTTGAGTCATAATTCTATGGATTAATATTGGCGAATTTCACACTAGCGACTCGCGAATTGTCGAATACACTATGATGAAACAAAAGTTTACTGACGAATTTCACATTGGGGATTCGCCAAATTGGCGAATTTCTTCATGATATTCGTCCATTGCCGAACATACTACGGGAAAGATAAATATTTTTTGACGAATTTCATACTAGAGATTCGCCAATTGACGAATGTCGTGAGGAAATTCGGCACTGGTGAGTGTACTGTTGGCGAAATCCCGAATTGGCAAACTTAAAGAGAGCCAGCTGTGTGTGCGACAAGACTGATGATGAAAAATCTTTTCCAAGATGTGCATGACTACAAAGCTAAAAATAGAATCAATAGGGTGACGAAAATATACGGTGATGGTGACTAGATGAGCACTGCTGGCTACCCTGAGCCTCGATGAATCTGTAAATGCTAGGAACTGTCTATCACCGTAGGTCTTCGCTGTAGTAACTAGCATTATGAGACTACATGGTGACGCTTAAGGGGACCCCCTCCCTTTCCCGATAAAAATTTTTCGATTTTTTGTTTTTTGCGACTGGATATAGATATTAGTGGCCTTTATCTACTGACGGCATTTGCAGACCTGAAAACCGATCTTTTATGGATAAAAAGTCCGAAAAAAATCGATATTTCCCTTGAAAACTCTTAAAAACCCATCTTTTCTTGTCGTTTTTCTAAAAATCAGATTTTTGAGCAAAATCAAGAAGTTTTCGCCCTTTTTCTCCGGAACGGCTAGACCGATGGGGCTGAAATTTTTTTATGATAACTAGGTCAGATTTGGGGTGCGTGTTTTTTTTTTTACAAAAATATAACTCCTACGAAATTTGACGGCCTTTAGAAAAAATAGCACCATGGAAAGGATCAAGTGTCTCTATTGTTTTGCCTGTCCTAAACTCTAGAAACGATATTTTTGTAAAAAAAAAAACACGCATCCCAAATCTGACATAGTTATTATAAAAAAAATTTCAGCTCGATCGGTCTAGCTGTGGGTGTGGGTGTGTGGGTGGGTGTGGGGTGTGGGTGGGTGTGGAGTGTGGATGTGGGTGTAGGTGTAGGTCATCTCTTCACTCACACCCACACCTTCAGTTGCAGCCATTTTTCAGCAATATCATCATTCTATGTTTATGCCTTCCCACGAAATTCCCAGTCACATTATTTTAATAGTTCGATTCTCGTCTATGGACTGACGAAAAGTGATGAATCAAATGGGATAAAAAGAAGCAAACTAATCATGTAAAATAGTGACAACTTCGCAGAATAGAAGAATTAGTCCATTTCCGCCGACAATGTGTTTCGCAGACTCCTATACCACCGAGTCATTTCATATATGATCCGTTGTATATACTATTTTGTTATAATTAATTCGTTTATTAGCAAACCAATTGGTCATCATCTGAGTTGGGAGGACATGGGTGTGGATTTGAGTATCAATGTAAAGAGGAAAACACTCACACTCACACTCACACCCTCGGTTTGTTAATAAGCTAATTAATTATAATAAAATATTATATATACAACGGATCATATCTGATCTGGACGTGTTTTCGGTTATGAATTGATTCAACGACATTGGAGTCGACGAAACATATTGTCAGTAAAAAAGGTTTGGCGAAAATAAAAATTACGATGTAGAAACCCTTGCAATCATTGAACTTGTGTATGATCAATGCAACAAAGTAAATTCACTAGGCTGCTCATTGACGAGCGATTATCAATCGATCGAGTGAACGGAAGTTGGTCATGGGTATCGATTTCATATCTGTCAATATCCTTTCTAATCAATATTTCAATTATATATTAGCTCTGTTTATGACGTTTAAAATAGTCTTTCTAGTCTTAGAAATCCTTTCAATAAGTTACTCATCAAAATTAAGTAATCAAAAGCAACTATACCAAGTAAATTTCAGTGATGATTGATTGCAACTTTGTTGGGTGTTGTGTATGTCACAAGCGTCTGTTTTTTGTCGAATGATTCATTTGTTAGTTTTGCCTCATAGCAACACTTTCCGCTCCATTTTTGTTTGTTTTTGCCTTCTTTTTTTACGTTTTTCTTTTTGAATTCTTTTCGACTACATATTCTATTGAGAAGGACTGCACATAACAAGAGTAAAACATTCAAGGTAAAGAACGCAAAACTATTGATTATAAACAAGAAACTCAGTTCGTATTCGTAGGGACCATAAACACCTATTTTTATTGTAGTATAATATGTATGAGTTGACATCGTTCAACAATATGCAATGGTTAACAGTCGTAAACTTTATTGAGTACCTATGAGAAGATCTGATTATCGAGCGCTAGTGGAATATAGTTTTTCTATAATTGGTTTCGCATTTTATTTTATTCT